TTATCCACTCCTGCTATTATCAAAGGCCCCCGCACACGGTGAGACTCCTGCTGAGCACGAAACTCAGTGGCGACGCATTTTGCTTGGACCAATGGTTCCGCCATTTTGATCAGTCACATGACCTACAGTGGCACCCGCTCGTAAGATCCGTGCTCAGCATGAACCTCACCGCGTATGCGATTCCTGGGCCGAACGGAAGTTTCACGAACAGTCATTAACTTTAATTATAATTAAATCGCTAATCATTAATCACAATACTCAAGGATAATAATACTTTATTCACCAAAAACTAGTATAATACTTTTGTGCTACGTTTTCTTTCAATGAAAAAATGTTTGGATTACATATATTGCCATTGGATTAGACTTAGAGTGATTGTATTTATTACACTCCAGTGACGGAACGAAGAATTAAGGTAGGTCAACATACTAACCTGTACTATCATTAATTGCCTGTACATTAATTGACGGGTAACGTTTTCGATTGATATCGAATGCAGGTTCGTCATTAACGGGGCGCTGAATCAGGACGTGTGTTCCATCGACAGCCCCTATCATCTCAGGAAAGCCAGCGAGTTGATGGAATCCTGCCTTTTGGTTAGCTATTTCCCTGGCACTATCTGGCCACTTAATAAATTTATTTCGTTTGCCGTTTAAAGATTCTGTCACATCCGTAATCACTCTCGATACTGTAGCTTTCGAAACTCTGAAAGAATCACCTATCTCATTCATGAAAGCCCCAGTGGCATATATAGTACCGTAGCGCTATGAGTAGTTGCACTTTTGTTGGGATAGCGCAGGAACGTTTTGTCGGCCACTAAGATCGTCTTTCACTAAATCATGTGAAAAATCGATTCCCTTTCTCCCAAAGCGGTATCTCTGTCGTAATTTTTCGTCATTGAACGTATTTATATAATTGTAGCGATGTCTATATTATCTTCTGCGGTCAATCATTAATCGTTCGTAAATAACTGCTGCCGCCATTTTGTTTTTTCGCGTACCAATTGATGATAAGTGGATTTAATCATGCTCCTGAGTAGAATAAAATATTGTTGATTAACTTAATCATGATTAAAGTTAATTACGCTTCATGAAACAGTCACTTCAATTTAATTACGGGAGGTTAACCATGATTAAGGACTTAATTACGCTTCGTGAAACCGGGCCCTCCTATCCCTTTTGGTTATATGTAGGCCCATTCTCACCACAGAGATCACGTGACTATCGGCTCATATGATTGATTCGTTTGATCGTTTGATTCTCCGGCAGTAACAAGAATTATTCACGGAAAGCCACCTCGTTGTTTAAACGATTATGCACAGCAGATAGGGAGAGCTGGACGTTGTGGACAGTTGTCTGAGGCTGTACTGTACTACAATAGATCGGACATAGCTGCAAATGTGGCAGGATTAAAAAAATACATTGTAGCTTATTGTACAACAAAAGAGTGCCTGCGACTGGAATTGTTGAAAAATTATGGTTTTTATGAACCAAAAGTTCCACTGTCTACATTGTGTAAGTGTTGTAGCATCTGCCAAAAAAATGTGAATGCGACACTTGCATTCACCTGTGAAGTGAAATAAAGGTTGAAAATGTGTTAGCGAGTTCATTCATTGAGTCCTGAAGCAGTTCCTGAGACAGACATGAGATTTTAATTTTAATGGTCAATGAATTCTTACCGCAGTAATGCTGTTATGATAGGAAGACTGTCAATTTAAGAGGTTAATTGTTTGAGACAGGAATTTAACTAATATGTTTTCAATGCAAATGTCATACCACCATGTGAATGCGTACATAATATATGAATGTAATAGGTGCATTGTCAAAGCGTGTAATATAAACGCTATATACATCACATTATTATCATTATATATATTTTTATATATTATTATATTATTAGTATCCACTATATTATATAATATATAATATCGTTTACCTATATAATCAAGCGCAATAATACATATGTGCTATATATACTATAGATAGTGCTTATTACTCATGCACAGTTACATAAAATATGATACAATAGTTGCATTGACGGTTAAATACAAGCGAGTATTAGAAGCTGTGTGTGAGCAACAAACGGGAGCCTTGCAAAATGTCGAGCATAATATCAGTATGGAGAAACAGCTCGCGTAAACATTGATCTGTACAAATAGGATATTATATAATTTAAAACAGTATATACACACATATATTACCATATATAGTTATCAAGTGAGTTCGGTGTTAGCTGTAATCACGCACGTGGCTCGTCACTGCCACGCGCGAGTTACGGCTACTCAACATCATCGTCCCAGTGTTGTCTGTTTGAGATGTTTCCGTCATGGTTCCCATCAATATCTAGCTGCTACTACTTGTCTGCTGCCTTAGGACGATCTATGCTTGCGTCTAGCTAATAGCTATCTCGGCATTTCTGTACGATCCTATTTTATCGCAAAGGGCTTCTAGAAAATGTAGTTTATAGAATTGCATCTATGCTTTTGTGGTACTATTCCTAGACAGGCTGTCGAAATTCCGAAGCTATTCTGTTACCTGTGTCCAGCACGCACCGCGCAGTGCCTCGAATTACTGCGCATCGCGTTCCCTTATTTGCTCCCCAAGGGTCGTCGAATCATGTCTTTGTTTTGACTGTGTGTTTCTCTCTCTCTCTCACCTTTTTCTCCTCTTCTTTTTGTTTTTTTTAAGATGCTTTTGTTTGCAGGAAGAGGCTCAGGTGGCTTGTTTTACCACTCCCAAACAGACCCCCTGGTACGCCCTGACCTGAGTGCGACTAGACATCCACGGCCAACTAGGCATGTTCAGACGCTGTTGTCAGTTGCTCAAGCGGACAATCGCAGTCTTCACTTCTCGACCGTGCATAAGCTAAAGTTACTTGGTTCACCAGTATCATAGAGTCTGGATTATATACAGTCACAATGTAAATGTTCACACATAATTACACCATAGTATGTAATACAAACACACTCCGTGCACTTGTTAATGGTTTGCTGTTTGCTCCGCACATCCAAACGCACACACCTGGACGGACGTGTCGTGCTGCGCATGACGGCCATTTATCTGATGATTATTCGGCCATAGAACCAGAATGGTTTCATATTTTTCAAACTATTTTTAGCATGACATTACTGTTTGCATATAAGGAAAAGCTACGCTGCCGAAAACTCTCTGCGATATTTGTGTAGGGAAGGACACACGAGCCCTCAACAAATTTCCATGAATATTGCTCATGTTTCGCAACTAATGACCATTGCTTTATTTCACGGGGACTAATTAACTAAAAATATTTACTGCAACATAATATCCCTGTTCATGAACCACAGACTATCAGAGGAGGCTAGACCCGCCTTCGGGCTAAATCCGAGTAAATTTGGATAATCTTTATGACCCCAATCATGGCCAAAAAGAAAGTCACACCGTTAAAGAGATACTTTGAAATGACGTCATAATTCTTTAATGTTTTTCCCTTAGATTTGCTAATTGCGACATTACCGCTGTAGGTCATATCTATGCAAAAATATTGAAAAACTGCTTTTGCATATATCTGTGTATTTGTGCGAGGGATGAAACTAATTTTTGTCTAAAAACATACTGAACTTTTGCACTAATTGACGCCTTTGGATCCTCCTTAAATTAGTTGACCTAATTAGGCCAACACAATATGTTTTCACTATTCAGCACGAAAACCCCGCTCTGTACACTCCTTCTGCTTTGCCTTCTCCATAATGGACTCATGTCGTATACCTTAAATCAAGACTCTTTTTGATTCTCCTCTGTTTTTGCTCTTGCTCCTACCTGTATTGCCTTCTGCCCAATGCGTTAATCTACCGCCGCAAACTGCCGCCCACCATTCGGGCCACAACGGCAAACAAGCGGCCCGCGAAAGTTCCGAATGCGTCGCGGGCGGATACACACGCCTGTCATGAGCCCCGCTGCGTACTTTTCAGAGATTACGATTGCGGCAGCGGCACAACACAACACACTGGAGAGCAATTCTTCATCTCTGTGATCGAGATTGATCGTAGGCCTATCCATACGACTGTCTCACATCTTCTTCTCTTTATTTTGATCGTTCATGGTACAGGCCGCAGTTGCTTTACGTCACTCTTATTGCACTATTATATTGTCGCCATACAGTTTTCTCCATTTGTGGTTTTATGTTTGTATTCTAGTAATCTGAATCGCGCCTATGCACTAGCATTGTATTTCTTGTTTTATATTTAAAATGTTTCTTCTGTTACTAGCACTGCCGCCCGCGACACATATGAGATACCATATAATAATCGTCGAACAATAGCTCGCCGTATAGTAAATTAAACCCACCCTATTCCTATTTTTTACTACTTTTATTATTATTTCTTATATATATATATATATATATATATATATAGTATGTACCATATATAGTATATGTATATATATATATATAGTATGTATATACACATTAATATATACACTATATACACGTGTGGTAATTTGTGGATAGTGAATACATGTATTTAGCCTAATAGTTTAATCAGATACAGCCAGATAACCCAATATTCATTATTTATAATTTAAACAAAGTAAATCTCACTTGAAAATTTATTTTGTTTCTATATTTTGTCTTATTCACAGCCCTTCTTTGCCTTAAATGTAAAATTACAAATTTTTAATTAATTCCCACGTGGGTGTCAGAGTGGTAACGTTGCCGCAACGTTTTTGCAACATTGTTTTGCAACGTTGAATCAGAAACGTGAGAAAGAACGCTTAGAACGTGGAAAACTCACACAAACTATCAGAAACTTACACAAAACGTTTTCAAAACGTCAGCGCAGCGTTGTAGGAACGTTGCCATGCAGAAGGTGATTTGGTAATTGTGTTTACACTAACAGCCAAGCTAACCAAATCAATTATTGTGCTTTAAAGCTGGTAGTAGTAGACACATTTACTACCAGCTGTTACGACGCAATCTTATAATTATGAATGTCACTTACTATGAGAACAATTATAAAACACCAATTTAACGAGTTTGCTTTTAAACGGTTATTATATTTATTATATTAGATTCTCCACGCATTTCTCCAGCAGCGTTCAAATAGAATTTTCACATCACAATACATATCACGTACGCTGATTGTTAACAGAGCACCCTCACTTTGTACTTACATAGCACTTAGTATACTTATAAAGAAAAATAGATGAATATTGATTGTCAAACGTGATGACAGATGATTCGTTACTGTGACGATGAGAGGTGAACGGTCAGATATATGAACGGTGTGATATTGTTAAATTATTATCAGTACTCAAACGTACACATAGCTAAGCCGATAACAGTAACAATGGCAGCGGGTGCAATAAGCTAGACATCACAAGCGTGCCACTAAAGGTGTTGTTATATGACACAAACACCCCGCAGTCCGCAATCCAGGCTGAATAACCGCCATTTATTAGCGAAGACATAAGAGGATGAACTAGCATGTAAGCTAGGATATTAACCCATAGATGCCGTTTTGAATAGCTCAAGCCACGCGGTCGTACGGATGAGCTGGGAGCACAGGCAAGTCAGCAACACAGATGCTGAATAACAGCACGAATAACTATTAGTTACATCAGCAATGAGAGCAATTCTGTTCAAACATATATTAAAAGACGGCGCAATGTAGTTTAGAACTCAAGCGGACCAGGCGTAATTCTACAAAACATATCTATGCTGCTTCTTTATCACGAATTGAGCACTGTCAATTATGAGACTGTAAGTCGGAAAACTTAACAAGAAGTCATTACTGGAATGACTATAGACCAACCAAGCACCTCAATTATACAATTATCGTTCCTGCTATCAGCAGATATTTCAGGCTTCTTTTGTTCTACAAGTCCTGTCAGTCTCTCATAGAGGTGTCCACTGGGGTCAGGATCGAACACCTATGGCTTCAGTTGGCAACGTAACGATGAAAGGTCTAGCAAAGCTCTGCCGGACGATCACCATCACCACCGGCCATGTCGTACACAGCCTGTGCAACTTTGCAGGCCAAGCTGTCAGCTTTCTCCTGTGCCAAGAAATAGCAAGAGCCATCAGAAATGCGTTCATGCGCTACGCACGCTGCTGCGATGAGCATAGCTATTTTCATGTCTCAATTGACTTTCTTAAGGGAGGTTTTGACTGGTGGAGCTAGATTACAGAAAGTCCAAACGGTGCTCCTACGATTCAACCAAACATTAAAGAAATTAGAGTGGAATTTAAATCAGCTATCAACAGTTTAACTAGCGTACTCCTCTACTAGGGCACTCTAACTGTAGCTGGTTTCCCGTAGACCTATGCGGAATAACTTTGTGGAGTGGACCAGTTTATTTCCATATATGATTGACATCCGAGTCGTATTTCTATACAAAGTAAGTGATTCAATACTATGAATATGGTATTGAATATGGGGAGTTTCCTCAGAACAAATCCACCCTCCCCCGATTCTCGTTGTCAAAGCTGCAGGCCATTAAATATGGAAAATGAGAAAAACTCGCAATGACACGCAATAACTTGTCTGAATAACGGGCTCATACTTGCCAACTACTTGACACAAGACGGGTAGGTGGTCGACTAAATTATTTATCATTGTTGCGCTAAGCAATCGACTATTGCACTAGCAGTAACTAAAGTGGAGTAGACAAGAGTTGTAAACGTCACGACCAGTATCGATCATTTCAAGTTACTGGCTTTGAAAAAGAGACAAATTTGCAGCTAGAGGCACGTTATTGCTAGTGTGGTGAGCCAAGCTGTAGCGATATTTGTTGGGTCTACTGGGGTCAATACGCACGCATGCGTATTGGGGTCTAGACACGCACGCAATAAAAATGCAATATACATGCAAAACATGTACATATAGACTCGGTTTTACAGATGATGCACTAGTGATCAGCACAGTGTGCAGGTATGTGTATAACATTTGAAATTCAAAATTGACCACTGTCTATTGCTGTGTGTGCGCACAGCAATAGACAGTGGTCAATTTTTAATTTCAAATGTTATACATGTTCGATATAAACCAAATCCGGTTACCAGTAAACAAAACTGTGTTCATCTGAGAGCTGCTGCTCTGCTAAAAAAAACTATAAATCGCAGTCGTGCATAGCAACACGTATTGGGCCGTGGTTAACATTTGGATTTAACAGGGCTGGCCAAGACGTTTGCAACTGCCTTGCCAGTAAACTGAACTATGTACTCCAAACGTTCGTAACCAATATGTCAGTGGCACAAATTGGACGAACTTTTGGCAAATCAGAGCATATCATACATTTTGCATTTAGGATGACTATTCGGGCCAATTTTGACTCCTGCAACGCTATTTCTATTGCTTAACATCCTGGTGTAATCCTCTGATATTGCTGACCACGATTGTAATAAAGCTAACAAATTATTACAATTTACTGTATTAAAATTTGATATATCTTTACAACTACAGAGTTTACAATTCAAATAGATGCAATAAAGTCAGAGCACAAATTATGTCCATTTATGCATATATTATTATTATTCTTAGTAATCGAAAAAGTCATGATGATCGAGTATACACACTCACCACGATTTCCGGTGCGCCTGACTGATGATGAGACAACCCGATACATTATTTATTATATATTAGTGATGGGAATCGGCTGGAATTTCATAATCGATTATCGGTTTCCCTTAACCGATCGATAATCGATTATAATCGGATAATCGGTTAATAATAGCATAGATTTAATTTAATCTTACTTCGTATATACAATTATACATAGCATTCAATATTATCATGTTTTATGATCATGTATTAACTCTGTGAAGGTTGCTGTATGTATATCAATTTCTGTTCCTATACAGTATTTAATCAATTTAAAAAGAAATGGTTTAAATGCCTTTATTAAAACATTAAAACATAAAAGTTTTAAACAAACATGATCAAGACTTGTTCTTTATTATAGTAAGTAAGTTGTTTGTGTTCTAATAGTGTAGGCTTTGTAGCCGAGTTAATGTCATGCCAATGGAATATCCTCTCCAACACAATGTAACAGACAATACGGAGAGTAGAATCTCATCTACGGATAACATCTGTGGGACAGTGTCAAACCAAAACAAAGACACTGTCCAATTTGTTCATGTCTATAAGTACACTAGTACCGCTCTGCAATCAGACAGGACCTATGTTAACAGTGATTCATGAAGGTGTCCTCTAGACTCTTTGTACTCTAGACTACACACTGATGCACTTCTACTTCGCTACCAATACATGTCCATGTTGCGATTTAAAAAATTTTTTTTTGGTATTTTTGATAATCGATTATTTGTTTTCATAATCGATTATCGTATTTGAGACTATAATCGATCGATTTTCGATTATAATCGATCATCGGGACATCACTATTATATATGCATATCTTATTTCAGTGACCAAAAAATAAACTTCAGAGATATGACCAACTAAATAGACAGTAAAGGGAAATGAGTCATATGAACATGAAAAACTTAGGCCTATGTAAAAATGTCAAACTATTAATAGCTGATGGCACTATTGGCATCCGTTATCGATATGCAAATTCACTATTGAGCTGTTGACATGAGCTACCTATTATCACATGCCCATGTCTTGCAACTTTTACCTATGTGTGTGCATGAATTGAGAGACTTACCTGCGTGTCTGACTCTGCATACACCCTCACAATGTCCTCTGTCCCAGAGGGCCTGATTTAGATAAAAGAAGAATGATAGTCAAATACATTTCAACGGGATGGGCTACTACATACAAGAATAACTAAGTCACTCGTAATGTACAGCAATACGATGTGATCCACATCTCGAAGGGCTGAATACTGTTATTTTTAAAACGATCATTTCTCAAATAAATCGAAAAATGAATAAATTTAAACAAATTTAAACTCACATATCAGCGTACATATTACTAATCACTTCAGCATTAAAATTATTAGAAGTTTCTGCTGTTATACGTTATAGAACAGTAAATGAACAGCAAACGTGTGCTTACTATCTTCAGACTTGCGATAATGGAATGTTCAAACGGTTCCACAAAACAAGTGCACGTAGTTACGTGACACAAATATTTATAAATTGGTACCATCTCAAAATGTATACAAAAGTAATTAACCTAGTGTAGAGACAGGGTTTCGGTCTCGCGGGAGCAAAAACCATGCGGTAGGTTTGTTGACATATGTAAACAATCCAAGTGAGATCGGTGCACATATTGGTGGAAAGAATGTTGTGGGAGTGTTCTATGACATGTTAGCCTTACTATATACATTTCGTGTTATGCAAGGAGTATCAGTAAGTATCAGAACGGTTAAGAAAATATGAGAATGGTTGGTAAAACATGAGAAAGCCTCGTTTTAAATGACACTCAGCACAGATTAACCATGTTTTCGAATGGCTTATCTATCTATGTTTATGAGGGAATTTGCAAGATTCTAACCTGCAACAGGCAAGAGTGATTTGCAAGAAAACAACTCATCTATATATACATGCCTCATTAAATGCAGAGGCACGGAAATGGAAATTTATATAAATACATGTGAAGCAACAGTTATGTGCTATTTCATCTCTTTGTTTCCTGTTCTGCTCACCTTACAAAGGCTCTAGCCACTGGATACTTGCTAACTATCTCATCGATTCGGTCCTGAAGGCCTGCTGGAGCTGTCGTCTTTCTCTCAGCATCCGTTGTCACTATTACTGTTCTCTCACGCACCTGTCGCAAATATTTGGTTGAGAATTTCTCATAATATGACGACATTTTGCTGGAAATAATGCCAAAAATTATTTATAAGAACAAGTGCCGCAGTGCGACAGGGCTCATCTGGTGTCTGGTGTTCTGCTGATAAATTCATTTGTGCATAGCAAGACGTCTTATACATATAAGTCTTCTTTATTGTTGTTTGACTTTCGTAGCCAATTCGAACAAATATATCAGCTACACTTTCGCACCCACCTAATCTCTATGCATTGCAGACACATGTGCATTGCAGGTTGTCAGGCAACAATTATGATTAGAAGCGTGCCAGCCATGGGCTTCCCCCGTGTTTTTGGCTACCAACGCGAGCATTCACCGATTCAGCCTTCAGGGTGCTATAGAGAGACTGCTTTAGAAAATAATATGATTTAAGGAGCGTAAACCTTGTTCAACAAACATTTGCCTTTGCAATTAAACTGTGCAACTGTAGCCTAACATTCACACAGGTATGGGCTCTAATAATAGCAAAAGCAGTTCAGTCCTTTGTTAACAGTCAACAAATCAATGTTTAACCATCCTCTTGAGGGTCAAAAGGTTATCCAACACTTACTCTTCGCATGTCAGCAGAAAGTACATTCCATGGTCCTTTCAATAAAGCCATAAAAATGCTAGGTCACCGCTGAAACAAAAAAGTTTTTCAATCGCTCCATCAGACCATGTCCTCAGAAAATGTCTAAAATCTGCCCCTGTGCCCCATTGACCTATGACCTGTGCCCTCCAATTTCGGCAGTGATGGCTTTTCCTCTGATGATGCTATACACCGACTATCACGAGCCTAGGTCGAGCCGTTTAGATTTGTGCCGCAATTCTGCATTTCCTCCCTATACCTTAAGTTAAGGAGCGGAATGAGTTCCCCTTCCTTTACACCTCTTGACCTTTGACCTTTGACCCCCAGCTTCGACATCCCAACTCGTTTTCGGATTACCCCCCCATGTTCCGACTTTCGAATCCGTACGTCGAGCCGTTTAGATTTGTGCCCAACTGTTGACGGACGCACGAACGCACGCACGATCATGCGATTCTACAAGCTGCATCTGACTTCGTCAGATGAGCTAAAAATGAAGATGAAAATAATGATACACCGACTAGGCACAATGTGATATGTGTGTGCATTCTTGTGGATGATTTTCATTCAGACAGCTAGAGCCAGTAGCTCATAAGACAATCACTGCTTTCTGCTGATGATACATGTGTGTATCTGTAACAATGCAACACAAACTACGGTCCTATAAGTTTTATTTAAAAATAACTAACAACTTTCACTAGCATTCTTGTTCACACTTCAGCATCATAACTTGCTGGTAAAACTAGTAACCTCATTTGCTAAACATTTTATGAACTTAAACAATTATTTTCAATTCAACTGTGATTAAAAGCATTTAAAATCAAATAATCTTTCATTTGTAGTACACATGCCGAAGCTGCCTGTAAATATATATAGACATTCATATAGTGATGGGAATCGGCTGGAATTTCATAATCGATTATCGGTTTCCCTTAACCGATCGATAATCGATTATAATCGGATAATTGGTTAATAATAGCATATAGACTGCCATAGATTTAATTTAATCTTACTTTGTATACCTGTATTCAATATTATCATGTTTTATGATCATGTATTAACTCTGTGAAGGTTGCTGTATGTATATCAATGTCTGTTCCTATACAGTATTTAATCAATTTAAAAAGAAATGGTTTAAATGCCTTTATTAAAACATTAAAAGTTTTAAACAAACATGATCAAGACTTGTTCTTTATTATAGTAAGTAAGTTGTTTGTGTTCTAATAGTGTAGGCTGTGTAGCAGAGTTAATGTCCTGCCAATGGAATATCCTCTCCAACACAATGTAACAAACAATACGGAGAGTAGAATCTCATCTACGGATAACATCTGTGGGACAGTGTCAAACCAAAACAAAGATTATTCCAATCTTGAAAAAAAAAAAAAATATCAATTTAAAAAAAGAAGAAGCTATTTCCGATAATCGATTATTTGTTTTCATAATCGATTATCGAATTTGAGACTATAATCGATCGATTTTCGATTATAATCGATCATCGGGACATCACTACATTCATATGTACAGAAATATTTTTAAATAAAGGCACACAGTATCTTAAGAACTCGGATGTGAATTCTACTCAGAAGCTGATTTGAGAATAACTGTGTATGTATTTGCATCCATGTGTGCCTTCACACATGCATGCCTACGTGCTTGCACTTATACCTTGACTTTCATCTGCCTGTTGGGAAGATCATTGTAAAGGTCATTCCACTGCTGTATACTCCAGCCTCGTTCATGCAAAATGGCCTCCACTAGCAGCATATCTGAGATAGCATCACCCACCGTCTGGTTAACAACGTCCACAAACGACAACAGCTTATCAGCTGCCTCCTTCTGACAGGTGTCACCACTGTCAAACAAATTGAACACTTGGTAACTCCACAGCTGTGAAGGTAAACAAGGATAGAGAACAATGACATTTTACTCACAACTACTCAATTTAAATTACATTTTTTGTTTAGCAACCAATGAATACCACACTAAAGTCACAGCAGTGAGCAGCAACACAAATAAATAATTTATGATTAACAAGTTATTATCAATAAAACGTCCCTCTTCAAGGGAGACTAACAAACCTTGACAACCCAAGAGGAATTAGTTACGACGTTCAAGTGAACAATGCATGCACAAGACCTTAAATATAGACATTATCACCACATAAAACAGTCTACCTAGGTGCCTTGAATTGCAGGTATGTATGAGTAATCCCGTCAGAGATGTGCAGTATTAAATGAAACACAAATGTTTCCTCAAGGATACAATCAAGATTTAATGCGAAATATCATTCATTTTGATTTTTAGCCTTATTCGATGGTTAACACCACGTGCCACCACTGTACGTGATTATTCCCCCATACTGCCATACGCCATATTCCAATATATGTGAACTTTTACTGATGACGTCAGAGACACGATCCAACCAGCCTAGCCTGTTCCCCGTAATAATTATGCCAGAATCTATCAGCCTCAATCCTCCTACAGCCGTCAACTGCCAATGATAGTTGAAATTGCCACGCGGTCAAAAATAACACGTATACCTCATTACCACAGCCCCGGGTTTGTTGACAGGTAAATTAGTGATGCCATATATTATGCAGCATTTCTCATCAAACTGCGATGGCTCAAGATACATCAGAACATCATTGTGAAAATGAGAAAAACACCGATTTCTCCATTTACATTTTTGCAATTGTAGCTGATGCGTAAATGGATATTACTCTGTCATTGCAACTTGGAATAATTTAATTAGATGCTATAAATTTCATGCATTTTTTTGGCTTGAGCAGAGAGATAGATCTCACCTATAAATAAACGTGAGATTGAATCGATTCTTTGGTCAATAAACGTTTACTCTTCATTAGAGCCATGACCATACAAAAGATTGAGTGTATCCTTAAGTTAATTAAAGATTTAAATTCATTTTATTGTTATACTTCATACTATTCCTTATGGCAAATCTCAGACATACCTTTCAGCATTAGATATCTTTCTGATCATGTTAAATGCTTTGTCACTGAAGAGCACCTGTAAAAACACCATATGACGGTCAATTCGAAAAACAGAAAGCAAAACTTGGTACTGACGCATAGAGGTTTTATAACAATGTATTTCGCATGAAAGTGCATCTAAGATTAAAACACACTCACATCTCTATTTTGTACCCTTACGAGTGCAGTTGAGAGCAAATTGCACAGATCATCTATTATTTATATCTATCAGCTCATGTTTCTGTGGCAATTATACAAAATACCTATCATCTGCCAGCTGTGGATTCCACTTATCTCACTCCAACATACAGACATGGTAATATACCAGTAATATAATGTAGTACTTGAAAAACAATGCGTGAGTGCATTGAGTGAATGCCTTATAGCAATTATATCTGTTACATTAAACAGATGACAACAGCCGTTTGTGTAAGGTGATATTTCCTACGAGTAATCCTGTATGGGCCTATTGCTAGTGTTGCCCTCTGGCCTATGCTAGCAGACACCTGCTCACCGTGCCATGTCCATTAGCTTCAAAGTAGACACCGACATCGTAATCAGCAGCCCTATGATGGAGATGCTTCACTCCTGTAGAGACACAGGACACTGGAACCTTCTGTGAGAGGCAGATAAATAAACAAAAGAAAACAAAAGTCAGTCTATCGTTTTGATAGGTGCAGTTATAAATATTGTGTTTGTATAGGATTACTTAATTCTTATTGATTGTTAGTTCAAGCAAATAACTGTCTGTGCATAGATCACATGATTTGCATAACAGATAAGCGCAGGATAATATAATGTCATTTTAGTCTATTTCTTCAGCTAAGCCGGCAGTTCCACACAGAGTGGCAAAGTGCGTGTAACACGAGCCACGACAAGAGATAATAGACAGTTACAATGAGACAGTTAAAAACAGCAAATAAAACTGTGGCGTGATGATATTTCGGGTACATTAGTGTCTAATAACATCATATTTTTTACATTAGCTAAATATAAATAAACGCATGTCACAAGCCATAAGCGTAAATAGCATGAGCCTGTTATATCAGGTAGAACAGTGTTACCAATATTTAGCAAATATCACCACTGGCAATGTGCTGATGATGTATGGTAAGCTGAGATGTGGAAAATGATAGCAACCTTATGGTACAGCATACATAAAACAAGTGCCGCGGAGCGACAGCGCTCATCTAATGTCTACTGCGGTGACTCTGTGGTGGAGTGGTGGGATTCTAGTAAACCCTATTAGTCCCAAATGTGTTCACATACACGCCGAAACAGTGGAAGGCACAGGGATGGTATCAGAAACCTTCTCAAAGGAATGTTCGTTGGGATCGTTATGAAAGTTGCCACGAGATGGCGCGTACGTTTAAGTGTCTTCAGATTAAAGATGGAAGCTCCCATCGTACGTAGTAGCAACAACTATTTGCAAGACAGAATAGGTAAGCACTCATCCATTTACCTACGCAAGCCTACAGGCTGAAATAGAGAGCTGCCAACTGTAACTAATTAACGCAGGCAAAAACTACACAGTACCACTGGCAGTGGCATACGTTACATGTAACACACTGACAGTACAGAATGCCATAGAAATTATACGATTTAAGGAGCATAAACCTTCTTCAACCAAATTTAGCTTTTGAAATTTCACTGTGACATTGTAGCCTCATACATCCAGGCATGTATAGATTCTACTAGCAAACCCGGCAGTCAAATTCTTTCTAACAGTAAACAAATCCATGTTTAACCCTCCTCTTGAGGGTCAAAAGGTTATCCGACACTTACTCTTCGCATGTCAGCAGAAAGTACATTTCATAGTCCTTTCAATAAAGCCATAAAAATACTAGGTCACCGCTGAAACAAAAAAGTTTTTCAATCGCTCTGTCAGACCATGTCCTCAGAAAATGTCTAAAATCTGCCCTGTGCCCCATTGACCTTTGACCTGTGACCTCCAATTTCGGCACAGTGATGGCTTTTTCTACCATGATGCTATACACCGACTATCACAGGGTTCTCCCCAGGATGAAATTTAAACAGGGGGGAGGGGAGGGGAAGGGGGAGGGGGTCCGTGGGGCGTGTTTTTTTACCGTACCACAAATTAATGCGTAAAATCGTCACCACACCATAGACGGTATTTGGGGCTCTTGTATATGTAAGATAGCCGAGTCGGTGTACAGTTAGTGTTGGGTGTGGGACAGGTTGACTGTTTGTACTTGTATATTGTCGGCAGTGCATGCGTGGCACGGTAAAAATACACGTGCCGGGTGTCCTGGTCGAATGGGAATTCTTGCCGATCGATTCCCTCGCTGGCAAACTTTTATTGTGGTGGAATTTAATCGGGGCGGAGGTATTTTAAACGGGGCGCAACGATTGAAACAGGGGGGAGTTTTCCCAAATAGGGCGCGCGCGCCCCGTTTGCGCAACGTAGGGAGAACCCTGTATCACAAGCCTAGGTCGAGCCGTTTAGATTTTTGTGCCGCAATTCTGCATT